CTATTTTCCTATTTCACTGCCCCCTTATGGAGTTTTGTGGAAATAGAAAAGAACAAAAATGTAACTTACTACTTAAGTAATGGCCCAGACTAAACAGTATCTCCACCTAAGAGGGTTCATTGTATACAGATATTAAAAAAAGAAAAAAAGCTGCCCAAGAATGTGATCACAAAGGTAGACTGCAGGCGATACGGGAGATTCAGCAACTAACCAGAGGTTGCTTCACAGCCGCTTCCCTTAGAAAACATCGAGGAGGTTTGCAAATGGTCTGTTTGTCAGATGAAGGGAAGGGAGTCTGAGGAGTGGGATTGTTTCATGAAAGAAGCTGAAACTGCCCAAAGAAAGATGCTCATTATTCACCTCCAGCCTTTTCCCAGAAACAGCTCCATGCAGCGGGGACTTGGTGGCCTGGAGGGAGCATTTGCATTCTTACCTTACAAGGTTTTGGAAAGCTGCTCCACAGCTCTGCTTAATAATGAGAGCAGCCTCCCGGGCAGAAGGAAAAAGCAACGGGCGCCTGTTCTTGTGCTGCCCACTGAGAAGATTGGAGCACATAGTAGAACCACAGGTTTTCGTAAATGCTTCGTGTCAGAAAATGAAAACGTGGTGGTTCTGCAAGCTCACCGGCATTCAGAAAACCAGTCATCGGTAGCCACCTCCGCAAACTGGCATTTTTCAGTCATTTTTTCGCTTTTATTTTTCAACTTAATCCCATCTTTCACTGCCTCCCTGTTGCTTTCTAAAATAAAACTAACCTTTCACTCTGTTCTCTTTCCACTATTGCTAACTTTAAAGAGCACTGAGAATTCTTGGTAGAAGGCCACTTCCTGAAGATAGATATTTTACGTCCGGCTTCTCAAGGGAGGCTTTAGAAACCATCACTTGCCAGCGGGCAGGGGCGGGGACAGGCAGGGAAGAATCTTGTAGTTGCCATATACTTAGGACTGTGCATTGCTATCTAGCCACATGGTAAAATATTTTTGTTATGACCCATGAGAACTACAGAAAGTGCTATATGGTAAGAAACGTTGATTTATTTCCTTTTTCATCAGTTAATTTTTAAGTTCATACCCTTTCCTAGGTCTATACCAGAATCTCCTGAGCTGGAATAGCCTCTCTCATTGTCACATACGTAGGGGCCATTGCCATGGGGAAAGTGGAAACCCCAGAGGTCTGCCTGTAGAAAGTAAAATTTCTACCAGGCATGTTTGTGTGTCTATAAAGACCACCAAAAATAGGCAGCCCAATACTGACCTGCTAAGATTGGCCTTCATTTTGTTTCGTTTTCCTCAAGATGTTTTATCTACCTCTATCCCCACAGAAATCTGGCTACTCCCATTCCCTGTCATCCAACTCCACATTCAATGGTCCCTAGATCCTATTCTTTTCCTACCCTAATGTCTTCAATCACAATCCCCTTCTCACCATCGTCTCTGCCCCACCCTTGTTTGTTAAGCATTAAGAAAATTATTCCAAGCCTGAGGATGAAGAGTTGGTAGAAATGAAATGACTTAGCAGCTCCAGGACCAAAGTGAGACAAGAGCCACACGGGGAACAAAACTTTAAAAAGCACTCACTGTGAGGATCATGCCAGTGTAGGGTCAGGTGAGGGTGAGGTGAGTGCCTCCTTGGGCTTTACATGCTAGGCTCCTCTTTTGCCTCACCCCAGTCCCGGCCCTATTTTATATGTTTGCTTGTTCCCTTGAGGGGCAAAAACCTACCCAATGGGTACAATGAACACTATTTGGGTGATGGGCACACTTATAGCCATGACTCAAGCGTTACACAAGAGATCCATGTAACCAAAAACATTTGTATTAATAACTATTTGTATTATTAATATTTTGAAATAAAATAAAATAAAATATATTGTTGCAAAAATCTACATATGCTCATCCTGACATTACACACACTTTTCTAGATATCACAACATACTCATCCAGGTGATATAACTGAGCTCAGGTACTGCCACTCGGTGCACGCATGATTGGAGGATTTTGCCCATACCAAGGAGGGACAGTTACGTTTCTTGAGTTGCCATTTTCTTTATGGATATTTTTTCTCTGGTCTATATTACCTGACTTCACTGTCTGGTTTTATGTCAAGGCACCAGCATGTTTTTGCCATCACAGAATACCCTCGACCCTTCGAGAGTCTCAGTTAGGTAATCAGCATGTGGGATAGGTTGTCAGCCACGGTATCAGGAAGCACAGGTAGGAAGCCCTCAGTGCTGAGCAGTGTGGTGATCCATGACAAAGGGCATCATAATCAGAAGTGAGGTGGGCCACAAGGTACTTGTTATTAATAATAAAGTACCAACACTTGCTAATGATTTACTTTTTAGATAAATTAGAGCAGAATCAAGGTAACAAGATGTGAAGATGTGAACAACATCTTCACACTCTCTAGAATTCCCTGGAGCTCTAAAATATTTTCCTCAGTCGAAGAGAAAGGGGTGTCTTTACACCTGGGCTTCTCAGCACTGCTTTTACCTTTTAAACACTATGTACACTTAAGTACATTTAAACCTATGTTATGTACACCTGTGCAAGGGGCATTCTCCTTTAAACATGTCTCGTTGGGGGAAATAGAATGGTGGCTCTGGGAGTTGAGCTTAGCAGACTCAGGAGGACCTCAGAGGCATGATTGCGACACCTCTGGAGTGTTCCTCTTAGAAGTATTCCTGGAATTATCTGCATATGTTTGTACCTCTGTCTGTTTGGGGCCTCATGGGTGGATCCTGGGGTACCTTTTCACCTCCTTCTTGTTCACAAAATGAATGCAGTTTCCTCCCCACCACCAGCTTTTCATCACAGTGCTTGATTAAAAGGATCTTCCCTATCGTGTTCCTTTCCTTTTTCCAGTGGGTTGGCTCTCACCTTCAGGATAAAACCGATCTTGGAAGACATTGGATTTTATTGTTCCCTTTTGGTTACCCCCAGTCATTCTCAGTAACACAATCTCCCACTCTTGTGCATGCGAACACACACACACGCACGCACACACATTTCCATTGCCCTTTCTCTACCTTTTACAACTGTTTTGGTCACAAAAAACTGTTCATTCCAGGGCATTCTTCCTTAAATTACTATAGTTTCCTCCTAGCTAGTCTCCCTACCTTCAGCCCAAATTCCCTCCATTTTTTATGGAAATATTATCCTCATGAGAAATCTTGGTAGGTTGGTCACAGACTTATGTGTCCTCCTGGGTGTATAATGATATAGTGAAGAAGCATAGTCTTTGGAGCCATATAGACTTGGACTTAAACTCAGCTCCACCCCCTATTACCTGCGTGACCTTCATCACCTTTGGGCATCCATGCTGGCATCAATACAAAGGAATAATTATCTCTGCCTCACAGAATTTTTTATGAAAACCAGGTAACATAATACCTATAAGGCATTTAGCACAGTGCCTGACACAGAGAAGGGTTTTAACAAAGATTACTCCTCTCTTCTTCTCTTTGTTATCTAAGGGTCAGGGAGGTACTGTGATTTTTCTTCATATGACTTTTTATTTTCACCTTCTGTTAGTACTAGCATTTTATCTGTGGGTACCCCTTGATGAAAACATCTGGGTATTCTGAAAACAGAGTTTGAATCCTGCCTAAATTTTTTCAACTATATTTTCAACATAGTTCTGTGGAAGGGTGAGGAAGAAAAAGAAAAAAAAATCAATGATGAAAAAATAACGTCATGAAAGCAAGAAAAAGTTCCAAGTGAATTACTGTTAGCCTGTTGCTTTTCCTTTCTATCACTTTGATTCGATTGCAGGGTTACAATAATAGAGATGGGAAACATTTCTTCTATCAACTTTACTTCTTAAGAAGCACAAAGCACATAGCATCTTTTCTCTGTCCTTCCAGAAGTAATGTCCCACCTTAATAAATCCAATGGAGCATTTCAGTTATTTGTTACAATGGAATTTGAAATGTAACACAAGTAACATTTCCCATCTTACAATCCTCAAGATCATACAAGAAAATAGAACCTTTCTGTCATAGTAAGCCAATGAACGCATTTTTCTGTTCCCCGGAAGGAAAGGAAAGACGCAACATGAACATTTCTTTCTTCCCCTATGACTCCTCATTTTAACCTTCTTCACCCTAAGCTTGAGCATTTTTAAGAGGTTTTTTTCTGGCTTAACCTTTATTTGGATGGTGATGATGTTGGAAATCAGAAGAAATGTTCCTTCTCATTTTAACACTCTCAGGCTTAAGCATTTGTTGTTGTTGCTACTGTTTGTTGTTAAGAAGTATTCAGTGAGTCAACTCTTATTTAGATGATTATGATCTTGGGGGTCAGAAAAAATTTAGGAAGCTGAAGGATAATGACTGTGTGGTGGCAGGACAGAAGTTTCCCTTCTCCACTTCCCACACACAAGGCCATAACATTCGGGCATCTTCTTTGTTACGGCAGGAGTTCTTACACGAATGGGAACCAAAAATTTGAATGCCTTACACAGAGCTGCTTCTTGCAGAAAATTTGTTATCACCACTTTAACACATCTCTCTGCATCTGGCCACTCACAGAAATATGACAATGACTTTGTTATGAAGACTGTATCTTTAACACAGAATTTGGTTTTAAGGGATTTTTACCTATGCCTCAGAAATGGAATTGTTCTGCCCAGGGAGCACAGAAGTCTTTTCTTAGTGAATTGTGAAATTGGAGGGCAAATATTCTATCCTTACTCTTGCTGCCTGGTGAGGTAGATCAACGGCAGCTAGGCTTTCCAAACTATATGTCAATCCCTAGTTCTAGTTTGGACAGATAGAAGAGAGGGTATTGGGGGGGTTGGGGGAGATGAATACTGCATAAATGTTCTCAAACCAAATTAATAAATACTTTTCATACTAATTAATTTCTTCTCTTACTTTTTTATTGGTCGGGTATGTAATGTGTTGTTTTTCATCTGACGCCATGTCTCTGTCATTGCTGATCATAATTTCTAGAAGATACGTTTACTTTAAATCCACCTGTTCTATTGTTTTCTTCCAGGTAGCTATAGATTTCACTGCCTCAAATGGAGACCCCAGGAATAGCTGTTCCCTGCACTACATCCACCCTTACCAACCCAATGAGTACCTGAAGGCCTTGGTAGCTGTGGGGGAGATTTGCCAAGACTATGACAGGTAAGAAAGAGACTGTAAATTCAGATGGTCTTTGGCTGATCTGTGGCAGAAGAGTGGGAATTAAGTCAAAAAACTGCTCATGCAAAATGAAAGAACAGACTAAAACCTTGCTCCAAATGTTTCATCCTCTCCACATCTGGAGAAACTGAGTTTGTCTCAATTTCACTTTGGTCACCAAACAAAATCCTTTCTCAGCTTTCTTCTCTTAATTGTCTTGCAAGACCAGTGGATAGCAATTTTGGTTTCCATCTTATTAAATCTTAGCATGTGCCTTGCTACTCAAAATTTGTTCAGAGACTAACAGCATTCCAGACCTACTGAATTTGACTCTCCAATTTTTAATAAGATTCCCAGATGATTTGTGTTTTGGAAACACAGGTGTATTAGTTTTGGAAGCACAGGTGTATTAGACATTATTCCATCTAATCACTTATATAGTAGGTATTGATTTAAATAAGAGGAATACTGTACAGGAGGTTAAGTAATTTACACACTATCACACAGCCAGAGGCCAGACTTGAACTCGGCTCTATCTCACTCCACAGATTAAGTCTATAATCACTGCAGTTCACTGATCTCAAAAGCTACTGATAACTTTAGCAGAGGCTGAGTGTCTGCCCCTGTGCACATCGTGTGGCCATGCAAGTGTGAATGTCTTTGCCTGTGTATACCTAGAAAAATGATTGTGAGACCAGATCAGTATTCTATTTATTTTTACTTAATGGTAAATATTGACCTTTCCCACCAAGGGAATCCGCTGTAGGAAATATCTTACATAAATTACATTCAATTGTATTTATTCTTCCTTTCCAGTATTTCTAGACTGAGGTGAAGGATTTCAGGTGTTAGTTTAAGAAGCCTTTTTGAAGTAAAACCGATGTAAATATAAATATGTACAAATCTCAGTTGACTCCCTGGTGTGATTTTAAAACAAGGCTAGTCAGTTAGTAATGAGCAGCAACTAATTGACCTTTTAAATCAAGAAAATTAAGAAAGCAACTCTATCTTCCAGGTTTCTGAGAAATCGTATGGGATAGTATAATTTCCATTCTTTCTAGTCTCATAATTGGTGATAACCATATTAAAAACCTTTTGCCTCACACACCATAGGAAATGACACATCCTGGTGACCAGAATGCACAGAGAAACTAATAGAACAGGTAATGGGGAAGGTCCAATCAGTCTCCTGCCTGCTGGTGTCTCTGGATTCAGCTTGGTCCTCACCAGTAACTCAAATGGGGCATGACAGCAGTCGGGGAATGAATGAACAGGTCCAGTAAAATCAAAGGGCTTTAAACATTCAGGCCCTTACCGATACTTCCTCTCCTATACGTCCAGGGCAGAAGGCAACAGTCATTTTAAATTACCCTGTTGAAGTGACACTTCTCGTACTTTAACATTGAGTTGTTGACTATGAAGATAACTTGAGTTTCAGCTCTGGTTTCTTCAGGCACAAATATAGTGAGGATTCCTAGAGAGGTTTATATCATATGAAGATTTCTACTAGGGAAAGAAAAGACTGACAAATTGCATCTCCACTGTGTTGGAAACTCCTTTAAACTTCCCGAAGACACAAAAGCAGTAATTATCTCCCTACTTTATAACACATACACAGACACACAGAAACACACACACACACACACATTAATAATCTAGTATAATGTGTACACATGCTAAGAGATAAAAAGGAAGGGGGGAATGTCTTCAAGATTTTTAACTTTTAAATCTTGAAATGCTTATAAGCAAAATAAAGTAGGTAAAAACATTTAACACATATCATATAGTAGATGCTTGATTAAAACGTTGACTCTGAATCTTTAGGGAAGAAGGCAGTCCAATAATAATCTCCAAGGAGAAGATTGGTGGGCTGTTCAGAAACTAAGGAGCAAAGGCTCTGAGCCCTCCTCGTGATTCTGCCACAGATTTATTGGATGATCTGGAAAAAGCTACTGAATGCCTCCATTTCCTGATTGTCTCACATGCAAAATGCAGATACTATAGTCAGAGTGACATATACAGCTTTTAAAGCTTTCATTCCTTTAGAATGTGAACCAGACAAAGTCTGGGGAACATTTTATATTCTCTCAAAGATGCAGATTCAATATAAAAATAAGATATGACACCTTAGGAATTATGTGAAGAATCATCGTAAATGATTCCTTTTAAAATCTTAATGGAGTGAGACCAAAGTTGTCATCCCCAACTGGCCAAGAAAATCAAGTTTCTGCAGCTCAGAGGAGAAATGTTTTTGTGTATGTGTAAAGAAAGCAGCTTGTCATTAAAGTGGGCAAATACCTAAGGAAGAAAAGAGGGATTGTAGTATCTTGGCACTTTTATAAGACTCCTTAGAAGAATGTGTAATGCAAGATGCTTGATTGAAAAAACTGACAGGGTTCCACCATTTCTCCTTTGTGTGGGTGCATAGACAATAGACAGGCAGAGTCAGGAAATTTCAAGTCGGTGCTCCGGAATTAATTTATTCTCACATCAAAGTCGGTGAAGTTGGTGCTCAAAAAGAAACACTTGAATAAAAACTGACAGAAGGCATCATTCCCCCTCCTACAGCGACACAGAGGTTTTTAATCCCCATGAGCCTTAGAAATTCCTCCCTGTCTCTGACAGCCAAGGGCTTTCTTTCTGCCTTGTACAGTCATCACTACGGGGTCATTATGAGGTGATCCATGAAGTAGAACAGCTTGAGAGATGCATAAAGCTCTTTTCAGGGTTGAAGGGAAGCTTCCCCCTGATAGCTGGTCCTCAAGCCCAGAAAGCAATCCTGCCAGCCTGCTCTATCCCTCAGCCTCTGATAGAGATGGTGCTGTCCCTTCTCTGGGACTTGATTCCCTAAGCACAACACACGCGCGAGCACACACACGCATGCACGTACACACACACATACAGAGTCACAGCCTACATAAGCTCATACATTCTCTGTTGACAATGGCATTTCTCCAGCTCCTATAAACATCCTGGCCTCCTTAGATTACTCAAAGCCAAGGCGACATCTATTCCTTGGTACCAGCCGAGATGTGGGTCTCGGACAACCTGAAATGTCCTCTAATAAAAAGTCTGACCTATCTGCTATAAAGATAGTATAGAAACTGAATATGTACATTTCTTGAAAGTATATACTACTATTTTATATAAGTGGCTACCCCAGAATGAGACAGAGATATCATACACCAAGGCAGAAGTCTTCTCCATGGAGTGGTAGGAATGGTGCGAGGAGACAAAACTAGAACTGAAACCAAATTTGACAGGTATTTTCAAGTGTAGAGCATTGTGTTGGTAATCAGAAGATAGGTTCGTATCACAATGCTACTTTTTCTACTCTGCCAACACCGGTCGGTAGTTCTCAGCCTTGGTTGTGCATTGAAACCACTTGGAAAGGCTTAAAATGTACTGACTCCTGGGTTCCACTCCAGAGACTCTGATTCGATTTGTGTGTATCCTGGAAATCAGGACTTTTTTTTATTTTAATAGGTACCCAGGGTTGAGACCCAGAATTAAATCAGGAGAGATGGGTTGGACAGAATGGCTAAGGACATATGCAGCATCTACTTAAGTGCCAAGTACTTCATGTGGACATGTAAAGACAGAAAAATGAGTAAAACACAATTTTCCCCCAAGTGGCTCACAGTCACATGGGAGAGAAGAGCATGTAAATAAATTATAGTCCAGGGTGGCCAGGGTGGCCTTGCCCTGTGTAAGAATGGGAACTGCGTAAAGGAGAGAAGGGCTAACTCTGTCCTTTGTGGGAAGAGGAGTGGTTGGGGAGGGAGTCCTGGGGTTGGTGACTTCTGGGCTGATCAGAATTCTAATTCTGTTCTTTATTGCTATTAGAATGTAGATGGACTTATTCTCATTATTCTGACTCATTAGACCAGACCAGCCTCTTATGGAGGGCAGAGTCAGGGCTGATGGAAAGTGTATGGGATCCTGGTGACAGGTAGACCTAGGTTCAGACCCCAGCTCTGCTACCTCTATTCCCATGAGATTCACATTTTATGGGCCCCTTTGGCTTCCTTGGTTGCAAACTGAAGTTGTATCAAACTTCTCTTGCTGAGCAGTTGTAAGGATTAAAGTATCCAGCTAGCACATGCTCTACCTGTTGTAAATACTTGATAAATGACAGACACTATTATCTTTAATACCCTAATTTTATTTTTATTTTATTTTATTTTATTTATTTATTTATTTTTTTTCTGAGACAGAGTCTCACTTTGTTGCCCTGGCTAGAGTGAGTGCCGTGGCTTTAGCCTAGCTCACAGCAACCTCAAACTTCTGGGCTCAAGTGATCCTACTCCCTCAGCCTCCCGGTAGCTGGGACTACAGGCATGCGCCACCATGCCTGGCGAATTTTTTCTATATATTTTTAGTTGTCCAGATCATTTCTTTCTATTTTTTTTAGTAGAGACGGGGTCTCGCTCTTGCTCAGGCTGGTCTCGAACTCCTGAGCTCAAATAATCCGCCCGCTTCGGCCTCCCAGAGTGCTAGGATTACAGGCGTGAGCCACCGCGTCCCCTAATTTTATTTTTAAAAATAAACTGAATGCGAAAGGAGATAGGACTATAGTGTCAGATCTAAAGTTCATTTTGAACCAGTGGCCTTTAAAATTTTTTTGTTCGTATATCCCTTAAAAGGATTGTATAAAATGAATAACCTTCACACATTTTTTCATTGAAATCTAACTTTTTCATCATGAGTTTAAAGTAGTGACAAAGAATGAAAATTCTAGTGTATTGTAAATATGGACATTTAAAATAAAACTCTTACATAACTCCTATGACTATCCAGTAGCATCCAAATGCTGTAACTATTTGATATCCACCATCATCCATTCAAAAAAAAATGAACAAGCACTTTAGTTTGAGATCAGAATTTTAATTGTTTCTCCTTTTTCATCAACTCATATTTCCATTTTCTTTCCCCACAGAATTTTATCCAAATGTATCTTAGTCAATTTGATTTGAAATTCTTTTATTGATCACTGTATCATA